AGCCCAGATCTAAATTATATTTAGAATTTGCAACAAGACTTGAAAATTGATGCTCACAGACGGTCTCCATCCAATCTAACAGTGCTTGAGCTCTTTTGTAAAGAATAAATGGCCAAACATTTCAGGCCCTTGAGACATACTCCCACAGACTTGCACCTGTATTTGTCATCATCATCATCTTGCGGCCTCAGCCGAGATTGAACTCACTACACCTTTCCAGTATTCCTTATCTGTCATAGCTAATACTTTGATTGGTGTAGTTCATAATCTTGTCAATTAGCTGAATTCTTGATGCTTCGCTAGGGCTACAAGGGTGTTTTTATCGTGACACCATCACTAAATGGATTGCCAACCAAGGCTCAGAGAGACTCCATTCACCCTCCACAGGTTTTGAATTCAGAGTTTTCCTTCTCCTAGACCAGTTGCTATCCAAGGCTATAGAACCCAGTCTGTCCTGTTATTTACCCATAGCTGGAGGGAGAAGAAGAGGATTCACACCTTTCCCAAGGATATTAGCACGTAAGTGAATGTAATGGATTCGACTGGAATTTGAACTCGGCTCTCCGATTCCTCAATCCAAGCTGCTATCCATTACTCCACTGTGCCTCCTGTATTTGTAGCAAAAGGTGGTTCAACAAAGTACAAATACATCCAAAAGATAACTGCTTTGTTGTCTTAATTATTGTTTGTGTCATGACAAAATGTATTTTCCCATTGATCAAATGGTAAAAAAACCTTTTTTAGTCTATTTGAAATCCAGTAGGTAACATTACAAAACATGAAAAATTTCAATTAATACTTATGCAAGTCTCTGTATTTAAATGTTCTTTAACTAAAAATGATAACTTGAGTTTGTATACCTAGGATCAATGTGTCAAAGTTAATATTAACATTTTTTTGTTAATTCCAAAATATAATGACCAAAATATAACTATTAATATAAAACAAATAGTAGTAGATAACATCGAAACACTCTACAGTACTCAATGCAAGGAAAGACACAACACTCTAGAAGCTATTATTATACAAAATAAACAGCCTGCATTAAATAAAATATCATTCACTACAGGAGACTGTATATGGAAGTGCAAATGATATAATTAATATATGTATATATCATATTAGTATTAAAAAATAAAATAAATAAATTGCATTCTTTTTATGCAGTCTTGTTCCCAGTAGCCAGTACACATGACGTCATGCTAGACTTTTTTAAAAGTTCAGTTTTATAAAGACTACTACGATGTAGACAAAGGAATTCTACCACACAGACATCACACTGGTTCTTGATAATAACTGTGGAAGGCAAAAGTACTTGAACAAAAATAAAATATGAATTTGATTTATCCACAACTTTGGGTATAATACGCAATGCCTTACCTGAAAATTTGAACAACATAATAAAAAATTAAACAGATAAACCTTAAACCTTGTCAGTTCTTTTTAATCAAAGTTGTTTGAATATATATATATATAATCGACTCTCCCGTCACGTTCGACGTATGAGGGTCAGGCCGATAAGTCCCCAGGAAACCGACATCCCGACACCAGCACATGAGATTTGTTTATAGTGGTGAAGGCCTTGTGCAGGACCAGCCACACTTTTTGGAGGGACGAATACAGAAACCTGGTGCACCGAATGCATGCCACAAGGTTCCCAAACAACCCTCCGCAGGTTTTGAATTTAGAGTTGTCCTTCTCCTAGACCAGTTGCCATCCAAGGCTATAGAACCCAGTCTGTCCTTCTATTTTACCCATAGCTGGAGGGAGATGAAGAGGATACATACCTTTCCCAAAAGGGTATTAGCACGTAAGTGAATGCAGTGGATTCGACTGGAATTGAACTCGGCTCTCGATTCCTCAATCCAAGCCGCTAACCACTGCTCCACCGTGCCTCATATATATATATATATATATATATATATATATATATATATATATATATATATATATATATATATATATATATATATATATATATATATATAGTAATACTTGTTTGGTAGAACACCTCAGATAGCTCAACTTGTAGATATGTCAAAACAAATCAGTAGCTGAGGAAAAAATGGGAAATAAAAAAAGAAAGAACTAAAAACATCTGAACAGGGCAAAATAAATCGACCAGTGCATTAAGTCCAAAGAAAAAAACTCCAAGCGAGTAGTAAGACTAAAATGCAAACATAGTACCAGCCTGTACACATACATATGGAATATAAAACAAGAAGATGGTAGTGACCCCTTTTTAAAATGGGAAATATTAACAAAAATTCCATAAATATAAAGCAGGGGACAAATTTTGATGGTTATGTATGGAGGAAAAACTAGCAATCACCATCTACAATGAACCTAATAATTTATTAAATCAAAGATCTGAAATTCTAAATAGGTGTAGGCATAGGAAATTCTGGTTATTGGAAGAGAGGCTTTGTTTTTTTTTTGTCTTCTTCTGTCACATGGTTTTATGCCTATTAGTTTTTAATGGTTTTATCCTCATTTCCTTTTTAGCCAGCTTACCCTGAAGATCTGTTTAGGTGAAACCTCAGTAGGTTTTCCTGGGTCTTTAGGATTTATTTTAATTTTATTTTTTTAGTTATATATATATATATATATATATATGTTTCTAAAAAGTAATGGATTTTTATTTATTAATAAAAATAATTTATCCGATAAATGTAACATTAAAAGTGATATATATATATATATATATATATATATATATATATATATATATATATATACACACATTTTATTATTTTTCAATTATTTTTTCCCCATAAATAATTGGACTACTCCACTACCAGTACGTATGGTATAAATATGAAATTGCATTGTGCATTAAACTCAAAATTGTGCAACCAATGAGGAAAAAAATGTATATTTATTATTATAATATATATATATATATATATATATATATATAGTAAATAAACCTAAAGAACCAGACTAACCTACCTTGGTTTCACCTATGTGTATCATCACAGTGGACAAGTATAGCTGGTTACATTTGTAGTTATATATATATATATATATATATATATATATATATATATATATATATATATATATATATATATATATATGTGTGTGTGTGTGTATATATATATATATATATATATATATATATATATATATATATATATATGTATATATATATATATATATATATATATATATATACATATTATATATATATATATATATATATATATATATATATACACACACACACACACATATGCATGTTTCACTAAAGACGGCTGACAAATTACTGCAATTAACCTTTCTATTTAATTTTTCTTGTGTTTGCATAAATGTTTTCTTTTCTGGGCATAAAATGTGTAAAAATTGTATAAATTGTCGGCATATCTGGAGATTATTGTTTTTTTACAGAAAATCTTAATGTTATTAAAAAATATTCTATATTTATGAATATCCAAACACTCTTGTAATATTTGAAGTTCCATTTATATTTTTCAAAGATTCTGTGATATTTTTTTGGTAAAAAGTGCATGTATTTATGTATCTTTTTAAAGAGAGTATCATTTATCTTTTGCTTTATTTATTACAGCCATGAAAACCAAATTCCAGCCACATACTGACATGATAAACTCTTTGCACCTCTGCGAACGCAACAGGAACAGTTTAATTCTCTCAGCATCTTCAGATTGCAGCGTTATCTTATCAGATATTCATGGAAATGTAATTGGAATATTTGGACAGGTAAGTAAAGGTGTTAATTGTAGCTAAAAGGAGAATAATGCCAGTGATGTTGCAATATGATGTATAATTGGTCGAACAGCTTCCATTACTGCAGATATAGTCAAAATATTAGTGGCAAAAATGACCAAGATAAGTCTACTAGTTAAAAGAATGACTGTGTTGCTTCATGTCAGATTTTGGGACAAGATATGAATTAGATATATAAGAGTATAAGACATCATACTTCTTTCATCTCCTTTTCTTTTATGTGGTGCTTCACCTCAGCATATAGACGATTATGGCCCTCCACAACTTTCTATCCTTTGTAGCCCTAAAGAATTTTTTTTCTAATCAATTCATTCCAAGCAAGGCGAAAATGCCATCAAGATGCAAAGGGTTACTGGAAGTGAAAGAGAATGGTAAAACTTCAGAAGGAACCAGAGACCCAATCCTAAACAGGAAACAAGGTAATAACCTCTACTCCTGTTCAAAAACCTGAGGAGGAGTGTGAACTGGACAATGGGTGAACCTATTTATTCCTTGATTTTGCCCCCTTACTTCATTCGTGTTTTGCCATTATTTTACACAAATTCATTAGGTAGAATATTCAATGCTTCCATTTGCTTCTCTTGTCTTCAATATGTCCTGTGAATGTTAAATTCTCTGAGCCATCTTTCCTCATTATATGTCACAGAAATTTCAATTATATCCTTTATGATTTTTGATTGATGACATGAATTTAAACATGCTACTAGATTGGCATCTAGGTCTCACTGTTGAACTAGCTAGATGTAATCATCTATCCTATTCTAACAGATTCTTTTCTCTCACTTCTTACCTGTGTCACTCCTTTCCAATTTCTTGCTTCTCTGTTACCTACAATCTTCAAAAATTTAAATGCAATATCAGTCACCATCTTTTCTCTTCTTGAACCCCTTTTCCTTTATTGTCATTTCCTCACTTCTCCTCACTAACATCTTCTCATTATCTCTTTCACTCCCTGTAAATCCCTGCATCTTAGTAGCATTATTACCTTGCTTAGGATGAAATAATTAATATATAGAATCACATCTCTCCTTCATCTGTGAAGAAATTGGCCAGCATTCACTGCTTTATAGATGGATTGATTTTGCATAGCTGGTACCCTTGTCTTTGTTTCTAATGAAATTTTCCTTACTTAATATTTTGTTTAGCTTTCGAAAGGCATTTTTCCTGGTTCCAATGTACATTTTGATTTCTGTGTGACATTTTTCGTCATCTGTCATAACACTTCCCAGATTTCTGTACTTGCTTTAAGGTTTATGGCCACATCACATTGAAATACTGATTCCTGTGTGATCACAAAAGTTAAGCAATGTTGAGCCTGGTCAGTATCTAGATGGGTGACCGCTTGGGAATACCAGGTGCTGTAGGTTTGGATGTGCAGGCAGTGTAATGGATAATGGCTTGGAATTGTTAATCAGAGAACTGAGTTCAAATTCCCGTTGGGTTTGTCATATTCACTTACCTGCAAATACCATTGGGGAAAGTATGAATCTGTTGTAGAGTAGTTTTCACAGTGGAGGCTTGTATTTCACTAAGTCGGTCCTAAAAGTGTCTGAAGTACAAAATGTTAGGAACTTAAAATAATAGTTAATGACGCAGCAATCTAGTTGTGATGGTTGATACTTCAATGTCCGACATCGACTGACTCACTCAACTCCACTGAGCCCAACTGGCGACTGCTACTACTACTTATTATCTGTGGGAGAGTCTATTTACAATAGAATAGGTATGATCTAGTATAACAGAATCCACCTTTTTCTTCCTCCAGTTATGGGTTAATTAGTATGATTTGTATCATTAAACATTTACCTCCCCCACAAAATTCTAATAATTTAGAAATATTTTATAATACGTCAATTCAGAAATATAGACAGATACAGAATAAACAATTGTATTAACATAAAATACAATAAATGATAAATCTGGGTAGATGTCTCTCACATAAAAAAGGAGATGTGAAGTTGTAAAGGTATCCAGTGAGGTATACAAAAGGTGAGGTAGGATAAGTTGTGACACTGAGGTGAGCTGGTTGGATCTGATGTCTTTGGAGATGGAGGCCTGATTTTTGATGAGTGTGTGACCTTGCCGAATGTCCTTTTGATGAGCTTTTATGTCTTTTTGAGGCTCAAGTTGGTTCCAGTTTTCATTTTGTTTTTTTAGGTGGGGGAGTGGGTGCTATTGGGTGGAAATTCTGGATTGAATTGCTTTTTTTTTTTTGCTTCTTTCAGTAAACAGAAAATATGTGTGAAGCCTTGTGCAACTGATAAATTTTTAGTTGAGTTTTGGGTGTTTGGAGCACATTCAGCTAGTGGTGGAAATTAGTTTAGTGTGAATCAGAAGATCTGATTTTGGGAAGAATGTAACACTTAGAAACAAAGAAAAGAGTTCTGGACTGCTACGTAATATCTAATCTTGTGTGTGGCAGTGAATGTTGGATAATCTCTTCACAGATGAAGAACAGATTTGAAGCCACAGAGATCTAGTTGTACTGATGAACTTTCTTAGAAACAAAGAAAAGAGTTCTGGACTGCTACGTAATATCTAATCTTGTGTGTGGCAGTGAATGTTGGATAATCTCTTCACAGATGAAGAACAGATTTGAAGCCACAGAGATCTAGTTGTACTGATGAACTTTCTTAGAAACAAAGAAAAGAGAGTTCTGGACTGCTACGTAATATCTAATCTTGTGTGTGGCAGTGAATGTTGGATAATCTCTTCACAGATGAAGAACAGATTTGAAGCCACAGAGATCTAGTTGTACTGATGAACTTTCTTAGAAACAAAAGAAAAGAGTTCTGGACTGCTACGTAATATCTAATCTTGTGTGTGGCAGTGAATGTTGGATAATCTCTTCACAGATGAAGAACAGATTTGAAGCCACAGAGATCTAGTTGTACTGATGAACTTTCTTAGAAACAAAGAAAAGAGTTCTGGACTGCTACGTAATATCTAATCTTTGTGTGGCAGTGAATGTTGGATAATCTCTTCACAGATGAAGAACAGATTTGAAGCCACAGAGATCTAGTTGTACTGATGAACTTTCTTAGAAACAAAGAAAAGAGTTCTGGACTGCTACGTAATATCTAATCTTGTGTGTGGCAGTGAATGTTGGATAATCTCTTCACAGATGAAGAACAGATTTGAAGCCACAGAGATCTAGTTGTACTGATGAACTTTCTTAGAAACAAAGAAAAGAGTTCTGGACTGCTACGTAATATCTAATCTTTGTGTGGCAGTGAATGTTGGATAATCTCTTCACAGATGAAGAACAGATTTGAAGCTTTTAGAAACAGAGATCTAGTTGTAATATCTAACTGATGAACTTTCAGATTAGAAACAAAGAAAAGAGTTCTGGACTTCTTAGAAACAAAGAAAAGAGTTCTGGACTGCTACGTAATATCTAATCTTGTGTGTGGCAGTGAATGTTGGATAATCTCTTCACAGATGAAGAACAGATTTGAAGCCACAGAGATCTAGTTGTACTGATGAACTTTCTTAGAAACAAAGAAAAGAGTTCTGGACTGCTACGTAATATCTAATCTTGTGTGTGGCAGTGAATGTTGGATAATCTCTTCACAGATGAAGAACAGATTTGAAGCCACAGAGATCTAGTTGTACTGATGAACTTTTCTTAGAAACAAAGAAAAGAGTTCTGGACTGCTACGTAATATCTAATCTTGTGTGTGGCAGTGAATGTTGGATAATCTCTTCACAGATGAAGAACAGATTTGAAGCCACAGAGATCTAGTTGTACTGATGAACTTTCTTAGAAACAAAGAAAAGAGTTCTGGACTGCTTGCTATTTAATATCTAATCTCTATTACCTTCAGTTATGCAATCAGGTTATGAGGATACAGATTTAAAAAGCTTTCTGCAAGACTATCAGTTTTGCTATTTAAAATTAAAGACAGTTCATGGCTGTTATTTTGAAGAATGATTAGTTATTCAAACACATTAAAGTCGACTCTTGTTTTGACCTCAAGATGAGTACAAAATCATACTTTGATCCTTGAGATATTAAGGGCAAAATATCCCATTAATTTCAGAACATGCACCCAAAAAATAGAACCATTCACTTTCTGGGTATACTTTACAAATATCTGTATATTAATGTATTTATGCTTAGCTAGTGTGTGTGTACACACACACACACACACGTGTATATGTCTACTTCTAACGTCTCCACTTGAATTCTGAAATTTTATTTGCTAATTAAATCTTGGCCTCTTCAAATCTAGAATTAGCTGTCTATCTTTCCTGCTATCTTGCCCTTTCTTATTTTAATAGAACCTCACACAATAACTCTCTACTTTGAGTGGCTCTTGGGCTGGCCCTTGCATTGGATGAAAATTAGTAAAAAGAATTAAAATAATATGGCTGGGAAATCTAGACAATCAGAGATAAGTAAGTTTCAAGAAAACTGCTGCTAACAGTCAGAAAGAGGCAGTTGAAAATTCTTGAAGGAATTCTTGAGGAAATGGCATGATGGTGAAAATTTTGTGATCATAACAAAGATGATGTGAATAGTTTAACTGTAAATAATATAAATATTAACTTATTCCTCATATTTTAGCTTTCACTTTACACAGTGCATTTTGTGATTTATTGTCTTTGCAAACCAGAGCCAATCACACATTAATTAACTATTTCTCAATTGTAAACCTTGGCATAAAAGACTTTGATCTGTTCTCATTCCTATCACTTCAACAATTGCGCACTGCACCAATCAAGTCTTCTTATAATATGATGCAGTTTACTGCTAATGTTAATCTGATTGGCAAAGATCAAACAGGTGCTGATCTTACTGTGAATAAGATGATTGTTGATAGCTAACTTTTTACTTGTCTGCTTGTGAATTGGTTGGATTAGTTTTAAATGTCACAGTAGATTATTGGTCTGTCTAAAAGGAATGCTGAGGTTTAACTAACTACTGGCTCCAAAAGAAACAGCATAACTTGTGCAGTTTTCAAATAAACTTGTAATGAGAACCCACTGGCAATATTCCAATGTGGATGAAATGCCAACTGCTACCAACAAGTCATTCAATGGTCAAGACTTATCAAAGGAAGAACTGAACATAGGCTATCTAGACAAGTATAATTTAAAAGAAAGGCTACCGTGTCATAAATTGCCAGTCGCTTTAATCAAGGTGAATGAAGGAATATGTCACAATACAAAGTACATTAGTCCTTGTTGTGTATGGAGTTGTTCAACCATAGACCAGTCAGAATAATTTAGCATTTTTTTTCTTTCTTTCTTTTTTTTAAAATCATTTCACCTCCAAGAAAGGCAGTAAAGCCACTAAGCTGGAAGGGGCTACTGAATGTGAAAGAATAAGAAAAAAAGAGAAATATTTTTAAGGAGCAAGAACAATAGAAGTGTAATCAAGAAGACAGTAGATAATGATTGACATTGCATTTAAATTTTTGAAGATCAAAGTTGACTGGAAAGCATGGAGATGGAAGTGAGTTCCACAAGCAAGAAGTGTGAGAGATAAATCAAGAATCTCTAAATATATAGCAGAAGCACTGGACAATATGTGGCAGCAATATTGAAAGTATGGGCAAATGGTAATTAAGAAATATTCATCACAAAAAAGAACATTAAAAATGCTATTCCTCTATTTTTACTGTTTTTTCTAGTAATAAAACTAAATATTTTAAAAAGAATATGAAAATTGTTGATTAAAACACGAAGTGTTGAATTTTTTTATAAATTTTTTCTAAGATATTTCAGCACTTAGTTTTGTGTTGTACATTGAAAATCAGAGAAAATGGTTTGTCAGTGTTTTGGAATTAAAACAAGTTTCGCTCACAAAATGAGGCTTCTTTCTTTTCACTTTATGTGCCATGTCCTTTCAGGACGTAGGCAATCATGGCTCTCCTCCTCCCTCTATCCCTTGCAGCTCTCAACAAGCTCCTTCCCTCTGCTTTCTCCCCCAGACCACATTCTGTCATCTACCTGCTCAAACTTGTCAGGTATGTCACGTGCTGCTTTCCCTTGTCTCTCTTTCCCGCTATTTGACCCGTGAGTATTAGATTCTCCAGGCCCTCCTTCTTCATCATATGTTCCAGAAACTTCAGCTGCCTCTGCCTGATGTTAAGCATGAGCCTTCTCCCTGTTTGCATCCTCTCTAAGACCTCATCGTTGCTCACATGCTCAGTCCATGGTATCCTTAGCATCCTTCTGTAGGACCACGTCTCTGTCGCCTGAAGTCTCTTCTTCATCTTTGAGGAAATCGTCCAACATTTGCTAATGTAAAGAAGGACAGATGTCATGTAACAGCTCAGTATTCTTTTCTTTGTTACCAAAGAAATCCTCCTGTCTTGCAATACTTTTCCCAGCTTTTGGAATGTGTCCTTGATCA